CAAGCGCAGCATACCGTAGTACGTCGTGCCGTGGCTGCCGACAAACGGAAGGTGCATGACGCCAACGAGCGGCCGCCCCCTTGTGCGAGAGGCCAATGAGCACCGAGACTTGGTCGTACGCACGCTCTGTGAACTTGCGCGTGCCGTCGAGCGGATCGATCCACACAATGAGGTCGGCCGCCGCCAGCGCCGCGTACGCACCAGCCACGAGCGTCGTGTGCGGTGTCGTGACGTCCTCGGGCACCGGCGGCTCGAGCACGCCTTCTTCGCCCACGATCTGCAGCGTCTGGCCAAAGTGCCCGCGCAGCGACTCGACGATGCGCTGCTGCGCCCGGCGGTCGGCCACCTACAGATGGCTCGTAAGCGTCGTCGCGACGCAGGCGTACCGTCTGCGGATCGAAGTGCACGATGGCACCGTCGGCCTTGTTGACCATGTCGAGGTCTTGGCCCGAGCGCACGACGTCGCGGATGACGGCGCCGGCGAATGCACTCAGATGCAAGCACGCTGAGAGGAGCTCGAACGCATCGAAGGACGCCATCGCTGCAATGCCACGCCGCCGCCGATCTTGCCGGCGTCGACTCTCAAAGTCGATGGCGAGGTTGGGTGCGTATGCATTTATAGAGGTTCTATGGCGCACGTCGATCGGGTGTTTCACACATGTGTCAAATAAAAACAACGCAATGTGAAAAATATCGGGGATGGTGCAAAAGGGAGTGCACCTGGAGCGACAAGGCTCTCTGCGTCCAAAACACCGTCGTTGGTCTTGTCTACCTCCACACGGTCGACCTGCCAAGCGTCCACCGCGATCTCACTATCCTGCTCGACTCGGTCAAAGACACCAAGCTCACCGACTTGACACCTCGCGCGAGATGGACGCGTCGACCGTAACCAGCGGCATTGACACGTACCAGCCGATGGCGCCCGAGGTCGTTCTCGGCACGGAGTATACTGTAGCCGCCGAAATTTACTATTTATTGCTGGTTAGGGGTACTGCTGATTGGGTGATGGGGTTAGGGGTCGTACTTGCCGAGTTGAGTTCCCACCAAGATCCGTACTCGGATCTGGTCCTCCCAGACACGGGCCGTGCGCTCACGCAGCAGTCGATTCTGTTCAAAGTGACGACCGGTGCGCTCAAGCCGACGGGTGATGCGACAAGGCGTGGGGTTGTTGCTGCTGGGCGACCGACGACGCTTGAGCCGACGTTGTTTGTATGTGAGCTCGTCCAGTCGAGCTCTACTGTTAGCTTGTATTTTTTTCCCCGCCAAACAAAACATAAATAAGGGCATTGCTTGACGTATAAACGCTAGCGACTTATACGCCGACGGCCCTATACATTTGCAAACGTCGCATGGCTCTGTTCAAATATGTTGGTTATGGACGCTAGAGAGACGCGTCGATGCCATACAAGATCCAGTGCTAAAAGATAGCGGTCTACTATGGTAGCACGACGCGGGGCTGGTACTGCTGGGCGTGCGGGACCACCCGTTCGTGTCGACGGGCCTTCCGTAGCCCCGACCACACCGTGCGCTATGCCAGAAAAGTGCAATTTGCCACGTGTACAAGTCAATGTATACCTTGACACAGCACACAAGGAGAAGCGCGCCGATCAAAAGCACAAGCCAGAGGCACGCGAGAAGGACAAGCACCAGGATCGGGTGGCCCTCGACAAGCCCGGTGGCCTGCGCGAGGCCGCCGCCCACGATCAACCTACGACCACGTACTCGCGCAGGTCCATCGAATCGGGTTAGGGTACCACAGAACGAGGCCAAGATGCACGACAATGCTGGGACCCGACACAAACTCGATGCAGATGGAAGCAACGAGCCCGATTTGCAGCTGGAGCTGGTCGAGGCGGTCCCACTTGGCTTCGTCCTGGGCGCGAACGCCAAAGGTCCCTCGCTCCGCCTACGTCATTACATGTATCAACCGAAAATCTTCGAGTCCGTTGATGCCTTACCTTCCTCACATAGGGCTCCATGATGGTACCTAGGACAAGAAAGTGTCGGTGATCGTTTAAGCTTTGATCGATCATTTTTACCTTGACGCTGATGCACGGTTGCGAGCCGGTAGTGCGCGCCGGCCCGTACAACCAGCAGCGCCACAACGTAGCTAAACCACGCCGCCGCCACGACGAGCGATACCGCCATGTCCTACACAAGCATTGAGAGAGAGCCAATCGCATGTCATCATGGGTTCAACTTGGTTGGTTGTCAAGTCCATTTCCAATGACGTTTGCATGGTTGCGGCTTGCGTCTGTAGAAAGACTGTCCACGCTGCGAGGCCCAATGCTAGCATAAAGGCAGTTGCGGCAATCATCGGAATCGCCTATCAATTCAAAATCAAATACAATTGCCGTCCATAACGGTACCACATACGAGGAGGAGTCGAGAGAGCAGGTCGGGTGCCACGGCCAGCACGAGCAGGAGCCACACGCCGCGGTACAAATTAAAGACGACCGTGGCCGCAACCGTCGGAACCAGGTCCACAATGGTCGTGTATCTAGCAACCTTCATGGTTTTTCGAGTATATAACAAGTTGTCGTACACGGGGCGGACCGTAAACGGTGCAATCTAGTTGTCGCGAAAATAAGGCAGACTCCTATGGCGCACGTATGCACCTGAAACGCCGTCTTGACCGCATCCATTGTGACGGGCGGGGCCAAGCACTTGGCCACCAAGTGGTTGTGCAGCGACCCATAGCACTACGCGTCGCAATGCAGTCATCAGCGTCAAGCACTAACGTATACCAGCAGCGTAAAACTGGAACCGAGGAGCGCGGTCAGCATCACGATATGAAGGCGGCCTTGCCACCGGCCTTGACTCGCAAACGTACGAAGGTCCACAAGCCTACGCTCCTTGTCGCTCAGCTTCCGACCAAGAAACAAAACAAACAAAAATAGAGAAAAATCACCGATGGCACACGAGTTGGCAGTGCGTGCCGAGCACAGAGCCCATGAGTGCAAGCGTGACGGCGAAGAGAGCGCCCTTGAGAACGACAAGTGCGATAAGCCAATTTTGCTGCAGCTGCCAGCTCGACGAGGCGACGTCCAACGACCCATGTCTAGTCCAATAACGCAGTTAGCACATCGAATCCATATTAGTACGAAACTATCGTACGCTGCCAAGCAGAGGGTCATGTTAGGTACGAGAGGCCGCTGCGTGGCGTAGACGGCCGTGACATTCCACTGCGGTGCGTTGATCGCACCAAGCACATCGATGGCCTCTGTCATCTCAGCACCGAGTCCTGCATGTACACAATTCTTCGAACAGCCGAGTAGAATGGAAAACATGTCGTACCAAAGAGGAACCAGATGTAGATCATTGCTTCCAAGCCCGTGTTGAGGAAAAGGGTTGCCAGCCGCGACGCCGAGTGCCCGGATAGGGTAAGGGTCGAAAGACGCTGGCTACGTTTCGTATCAGCAACATGCCGGTTTTGTAACAATGAAATATGTACTAGTACCCGTGGAGCCGTAGCGCAGATACCTACCGACAATATCCACTGAGTCCTTGCACCGAAAGCAATCAGCCATAATGTACATACGCTCACGTCGGGTGATATCGACACGTCCCCAAGATCGTCGGTAATCTCCAAGACAACGCCCGAGTGGTCTCGGTACACCCATACAATGACGCCTTCGGTGGCGACGACGTTCGAGAGACCCGCGTGATCTGTCTCGAGCGCGACATCCACCTAGTCCATTGCTCTAAATGTCTGAAAACACATACACACTCATTACGCGTGTGCCAATCGTCAGCGCCGATGCAAGGAAGCGAAGCCGGCTACTGAGCACGTGCTTTTCAATCTTGCCGTCGTCGAACCTGCGGCCCGTGACAATCGGTCGGGGGTTCGATTCTGCGTACCGTACACTCACGGTACCATCGTGGTGCTTGCGCAATATTTCGCCCGGTCGAACACGCGCCTTGTCATCGTTGACGCTCGTCACTTCGACGCGCATGCCTAAATTGGACCACATATGTCCAACATCAGCATGAGACAATACCAATATCAGTACCTTCTTCAAACGATGTTGCCGTGCGCATCGCAAGCAGTGTCGTCCAGTTGCGTTGCGGTCGACGGACATTGGTTGCGGCCACTTTAACGACTTGAGACGTCTCGTCTTTGTCCGTGTATGCAATCATGTACTTGCCGTCCGCGCGCACTAGACAGATTGTCCACATAACGAAATAACTTCTTTCCTACCACTCTACCTTTTCGAACGATGCCAGGCGTCCACTCATCGTCGTTGTCGCTATCCCGTGCGACCTTGCCGAGACGCACTTCAACGTGGGCGCCGACTGCGATCGCGCCGCTGCACCACTGCTGCAAGCTACAGAAAGACCGCAAAATTCGAGAAAATAAATCAATCGCTTCGTACGTGGCAAGCCACAGCGAGGCCGTCGAGACGCGCTGCATCTCGGCAGCGTCAATGCGGGTGGCGGTCGTCTCCGTGTCGCTGTCGTGTTGGATGTCGTACGTGTTGTTGGTGCGTCGCTTGCAGACAACGCCTACCCATGATGTTTCGCCCATGAGCACTCGTCGTACGCCTCTAGGAAGGCGAGGCTTACCGATGTGAAGTCGCCCTTTCGCATCCGTGTAGCGGACTTTGGTTTGAATCGCAAAGCGCGTCGACGGCTGACGCACCGTGTGCCACCACCGCTTGGCTAGACCAAATCCTCGTGCGATAGTTGAACACAAATAATGTCATGCGCACCCGAGATGGCGGCGTGGGGCACGTGCTCGGAAAGATGCTCGTTGTCGCTGTCGTGCTGGATGTCGCAGTCCGTGTCGCGCACACGCAAAATGCGCCCCGACACGCGAGCTCCGTGGACGGTTCGAAAGAGCACCGGTTGCATCTTGGTCCAAGACGGCGCACGCGAGAACGCACCACAAAGAACCCGGTGCTAGGAAAAGCGTTGCGGCCAGGTATTGCCCTTCGAACGCTGTCTTACCCAAAGCGAAGCGTGCGGACGCAGACGCGCCATGTCAACCTGTTTTTCTCTCCGCCCGTCGCTGGTATATTGAACAGCGACGTGGGCGCCCGAGGCATGCAGTCGCGTGATCGTCGCGTCGTCATAGACGCCTACAATACTCCTTTATACAAATATCCAAGGAAACGAGAGAGGTAGAGAACTGGGGTTGTCGAGATTGCGCACTTGGACGTTCTGGCCGACCGTATATGCACTCGGGGGGGCTCGGGGGGGGCTCGCATCGTCTCTCTAGCTTGCTGCTATCGAGTTGTGTTACTACTCACCATTCCCTCTACCTCGTCGCGCTCTGTGGGCTTGAGCTTGACCACGCGCTTTTCTGTCTTGCCACTCGTGATGTACTCGACCGTCGCCGTGCTACGCTCAATCCAAGGCCTCGTCGAGCGGATACCATGGTACCCGTCACGGTGAACGCGGCGAATCTCAGCGCGTTCGTACCGCGACATGCCCTCGCCTTTTGCAAGCACAGTATCGCCCACCTTCCAGTCGCTCGACTATGTTCGTGCCATCAAAAATCCTTGTGCGCCGTGTCATGCGCGTACCGGGCTAGCGTCGTCCTACCGCCCACGCACGATGACACCGCGAGCAACACGCTTAGGCCACATACCACTGCATCAGGAGCGTCGTCGGTCGGTTTGTTTCGCGCCTCCTAATGTCATTTTGCATGAGATCACGCAAGCAGCTTGTCGCGACCGACGTCGTCCGACATGGGTGCTGGCTGCAGTTTCCAACACGAACTGAAACGTTTCAAGACGCGCAGGATGGGCAACACGGGCTCGATGGCTGTGCACCCGAGCCAGCTGTCTCGGCGGCTTAGCCTGACGAGCACCCGCAAAGCCGAGTGAGTACAAACAAACTTTATCCCTCTCTCTTCTCTCTCTCAGTGCGTCTCATGACGTGGTATGTAGAGACAAGTCGATTTTGCTGCTGGGGCTCGACGGTAGTGGCAAAAGTGCCCTTGTCTACGGTAGGTGCCGCATCTCATTTGTGGACAAGTTGTCCATGGAGCGTACAGGCCTCGCGAGTATCCCGAACGCAACGGCGACGGCCGCACAGCCGTCGTCGTGGACGCCGCCACTGCCGTCGCCGACGAAAGTGGCGTGCGTCAAGACCACGGTCATCCATGGGCGCATGTTCAAGCTCCTCGACATGCCCGGCCACCGAGACGCACGCCACTTGTGGTACCAGCAGCACACTACCGATGTCGCCGCCGTCTGCTTTTGCATCGACATGAGTGATGTGCTGCGGTTCCCGCTCGTCGCCGAGGAACTCGACCGCCTCTCAACACTGACAGCGTCGCTGGCTTCATCGCCCGTCGTTTGGCTCCTCTTTACCAAAGCCGACTGCGCCTCGGTACGACGAGTCTCTTCTGCTACACGAAGGCCTCGAGTGGGATGCGTAGCCGGGCCAGCGCCTCAATGCGATCGACACGTACGAAGCCATCAAGAAATGCCACATGTTTCAAACCCGGAGGTCCTGCGACTGGTCGTTCATCCTCGCACCGTCCATCAACTGCCTCGCCGAGATGCAGCTGAGCGCGTTTAAGTCCTGGGTCCACGAACACCTCGCTATGAAAGGCTAGTGACACTACGATCTCGACGCAGATCTTGTCTTGTCATTTTGATTTGAAAAAGAGTGAGTCCCTTTGGCCCTGAGTGGTTGAAAGCTGTCGGAACACGCAGAGTAGGTACAATCGAATCGTTATGTTGGCCATTAAGTGATATCAACAAGGATGAGTGTCGAGTTAGTCGCTGTCGTTGATCTTGCGCTTCCGCGTCGCGACGCGCCGCGTCGACTTGCGCCGTGACGGTGTGACTTCCGATTCTTCGCTCTCGTCCTAACTCTGTCTTGAGTCTTTTCTCAACGAGAGAGATTGCCACTGGTCCGTACTTCGATCACCTTCTTGGCGCCCTTTTTGGCTTTTGTTTCTTTCCGCGCCGACGATCGAGCCGGCGGCGTGGGGTCTTTGGGCGGCGCCTTGGTCCGCGACGCCCGGCCAGAGGCACCTGCCGAATAAATGCGACCGATAAATGACATGCAAATTGCGGCAATCATGCAAGCCGTACGCTTGGGTGGCGACTCGGACTCGCTCGACTTGGCATCGCCCTTTGGCGTGGTCGGCGCTGACCGCTTGCGGAGATGCACGAGTGGGACGACATCCGACTCGCTGTCGACGTCGTCCGTCGCGGCCACCGGCCGCTTGGACGCTTTGGGCGACGCCACCGCTTGGGTATCTATTATACCAGCATCGTATAGTCATGGTCAGAAAGGGTAGGTGTACCGGCGCGGCCGCGAATGCGAGACGACGCGCGCTGCGGCGTGTTGTGGTTGCTGCTGCTCGCTTCTTTGGCATCCGAGAGCTTGCGCTCCGGTGTCTCGACTATCGGCGCCGAGGCCATGGGCTCATCGGGCGTCGGAGGCTCGCTCTCGTCTTGCGGTGTTTGCGAAATGATGTCGTCGTCTTGCGTGTCGCCGGCTCCGTCCACGTCCTCAGAGCACTCCATCACCTCGCGCTCGTCCGTCGATGGCGGCGCCGTGACCGCATGGTCCTCCTCTGCAGGCGCAACTTCTTCCAGAAGTGGCTCTTCGTCTTGGCTGGCTGCTGCGTCGGATAGTGCCTCAATGGAGGCAGGTGACGGCGCCTCGGCGGCAGGAGCAGGTCCGTCGACGGTTGGGGCATCGTGTTTTGCTGGCGGCGCAACATCCTCGGTCGCCTTTGCCTTCTCGAGGGCGTACGCTGTCTTGTACGCTGCAAAGGCCTCCAAGAGCTCTGTTGGCAGCGCGGGCCCGAGCTTGGCCCAGAGCGCGCGGGTCCGCGGAAAGGCGTCGAGGTCCAGCACGAGAAGGTCTTCGGTGCTGGCGCCGGCGTCGATGCGCCGCTCGACGTCGACCATGAGCGCGTCCGTCTCTTCCTTGGACTGCAACCGCGCCAGCGTCTGCTGGACATGCGCAATGGCCGCCGCAAGCTCGGCGAGGTCTTCAGCGCTGTGCATCGTCCTAAGCCGCACCGTCGCCTGACCTGTGATTGGTCCATATCTCGAAAATAGTCAGTTGATTGCTCGAAATAAGGTGATGCCATTGGTCAATAATAGAAAATAGTGCCACCGGATTGGTCAAAAAATCCATCAGAGGTCGGTTGATTGCACATTGTTGGCACAAGTGAACGAGGTCCTTCACAAGCTCCTGCGCCCATGCGCAGACACTGGCGCAGACAATATGTCCATCAAATCGTCGACAACGCAGCCAAGCACATGGTTTTGTTTGATCGGACGAAGTACAATGCCAGAGTACATGCATTCCGTTGCTGAAGGAGTCGTTCGCTAGGAGCCCAAGTGGGAACCGACGCTCTCAGCCCCATGTAAACACTGCTGGTCGACTAGAAGCAATACGCTACTTCTGACTTATTGACAGCTTGAGACATCGCACTGCCCTGTTTGTTGATGCCGCTATGCTGCACGCCGAAGACGGTGTGAGCGAGGAAGGCAAGAGGAAGGAGACACTTGGCGAGTACATCAATGAGACTTTAAACTAGGTGCAAAAGATACAAAGTAGATCTTCTAGCATTGTGAAATCCATAGCCGCAGGGTCCCCAGTAATCTAGGACAGGAACCACAACACTGTCTGCGATCGACTGGACACAATTACAGTGCAGACGTCCGTGCGGCTGCAACAACTTGATCCAAGATGGTCAAGTGCGCTCGCGTTGTGCGCGTGTTCAAGTGGTTGCCACTACACATGGTCGGATACCCCGTCGCGTCCGTGAGCAGGACCGTGTCGCCGTTCGAGTAGTTGTCGGCGTAGTCAAGCAGCGTCGCGTTCGCGGCTTTCACAGCGGCGTGAAGCGGGTCGAGGAACCACGCTTTCTCTTTACGAAACGCCGACCGACTAATTGGCGCCGGCACCTTGACGCTGGTGCCACTGACCCACGTGTCGGGCACCATCTGCGGGTACTCAGGGCTCTGGTCGACGACAAATACCTTGATGCCGAGGCGTGAGAGCTTGAGCAGCTCGGCTTGGAGCGACTGAAAGATATGGCGCACGTCGTCTGTGTTTTGCTCCTTGCACGCTATAAAATCGTACACGCAGCACTTGGGCGGGTCTGTATACACCTGGTCCTTTGGTGCACCCGGGTTGAGATACTGGATCCAATGCACGGCGAGGAGGACGGCTTGCGGCTTGACCGTTGCGAGCATGTGCATGTTTTCTGCAAACTCGGGGCGGCACGGCAGCATCGCACGCGCCCATCGGTCCTTGAAGACGATCGTCGGAAACGGCGTCTTGGACGCGGTTGCATCGTCAAAGAGCTGCATGAACCGGGGCACCGACATGTCGGCGTGCGAGTCCCCGAGAACGACAAGCGTGCCGTCCGCTTCGTGCCCCGGGTTGATCACCTCGCAGCGTTCTGGATATTCCGCCAAGAGAGCGTCGTTAAACGGAAACGGCACCGATGCCGTGGCGGCGGTGATGTAAAGAGCGTCAGGCGCACAACTGGTCGTGCCAAAGTTCCAGTTGTCGTCGGCCATGGCTTGCTTGGCTTGTATCACTGTCGTTACTGCCGTCCCATTGAGCGACGTCGCATCGCCAAGCGGCGATGCGTTGGCGATCTCAATCTCGGTGGCGGAGAAGCTTGCCGGGTTCGTGTAGGCGCAACCGGCGACCACCGCGATTGCCATCATGCCAACCACGAGAAGTGGCGTGACCCACTTGGAGTGGTGCCGCCGGAGTCGTCCCTCGAGGTCTTCGTACGTCGCGACGCTCAAGACGACGCTGAGCAGCAGCATCGTGATCGGCTGCATGTAGAACGGACGGCTCGTCACGTCCGGGTACCGCTCGATCGCGAAGACGAGGAGCGGCCAGTGCCAGAGGTAGAGGCAGTAGCTGATCTTGCCGACGTAGACGGCGACGCGGTTGCTGAGAAGGTATGTGTTGACACTTGCGTCGGCGCCGGCGGCAATCAAAAGCGTCGCCCCGATTGTCGGGAGCAGCGCATAGTAGCCGGGAAACGCGCTCGTCTCGTCAATGCAAAGCAAGCCGAGGAGCACGCAAGCCAAGCCGACGGCGGAGACGCAATGGCGCCCCCAAGACTCGTGAT